GGCATCGCCACTCTCACCCTCATGGGGTCCTTGAGATAGTTGAAGACCGTGGCTGTAAGGCGGAAGGATTCTCCACGAACGACCGAGTAAGGCAGCACCAGGTCAACAAAGAACGGCTGGAAAGCAGTCATCCCAACAGTAGACGAAAGGCCGAAGCCTCTGGACTGGGAGGTGCAGAATGTCATAGCCTTCCACTCAGTGATGGTGTCGGGAACTGTGACCTGGACCACCTTGTTTCCCGAGTTACTGTGAACACAAGAACCCAAGTGAGGTACTAGACCCAGCGCGTTCCAGAGGATTGATCTGCAATCCTACAGAAAAGTAGAGGCGCCTGCCCTGGCTGTGAACCTCGGGTGAGGGGTATGTGCAGACGTGGGAGAAGGGGTGGCTTGTGGCTTGCCAAAACGGGCACTTTCGGTGGTTCTAAGCATCAGTGTGGACTTGGGGCGAGCATGCGGTGCGCGCTACGTGGGTGTGAGGTGTGAGTCTGTTCTGAGCGCTTGCTTTGGGACCCCAGGGGAGGAGTTCCTGACACTGAGACTCTCGAAAAGACGGATCTGAGTTTTCTGCAGACTCTACCGCATCGCTTACCCGATCGGAAACAGTTCCCACAGCCAGGTCTCTGGGAAGTACTGGCGGACCTTGGAGCCCTGTGTCTGCGGTGATGGCGAGGCGAACTCCGTGTTCGGGGCATCACCGCCACCTACTGACGAGGATTAGAAAACAGAAGATTCAATATGAGCAACACTGCTAGTAAGAAACTCAGAGCAAACCAGAGAACCTATACAAAGCAAAGGACCGCCAAAGAGAGGAGAGGCAGAAAGTTCACTGGCGAAGTACGGACCAAGAGCTGTGGCCAGATAACGGACAGACAAGGGACCCAGGCTTCAAAGGGATAGACTCAGCCCAAGGGCAGAGGAGGTTGTCAGAATCCCGGAGGCCCAGAGTGGCATCTTACTTATCTTACTTCCGCCCATGGTAGTGCTGTAGTGTGGAGGGTGGTGACTGCAGTCTACTGGCTTCTTGATCTTGGCATTTGATAGGATTTTCAAGCCCATGTCCTGGTGAGCACCCAAAGGAACAACAAATGAAATGTGAAGGGGTCTTTACCCCACGCCCAGACCCACAGCCAAGGAGTTCCGCCCTCAAAGGTTTGAATCAAAATATGCTTTTGTTATTCATGGTGAGACCAGTGGTTATCACCGGGCATTCAGCCACAGGGACCAGACTGTTTATTAGGTCACTTGTGGTCTGGGTGTGCAGCTCAGTGACAGAAAGCACAAGTGGCATGCGGGGCCCTGGGTTCCATCCCCCAAACAACAAGGAAAGGAGGATAACATTGCATGAGACTTCAATGTGACTAATGAGGCCTAACTAGCTCAGCCTTAAATTCATCAAAACTAGAGATGCTTAGACTTCTCTCAAATGTCACTGTGTCCTCAGAATTTGGCTTCTGAGGGCAGAGACCACACCAGCTTAATCAGTCCTACAAAATACAATGAGTGTTATGGTAAGGCAAGCATTAGAAAGAGCACACGGATGAAGAAGACGTGGTCTCTGACCTCAGACATCTCCTGGTTAGACCTGGCTCACACAGCAGCCCAAGCCCTGCTTTTTTTTTTTTTTTTTTTTTTTTGTTTTTTTTTTTTCCTCCCCTCTTTCCCCCCCCCCCCCCCCCCCCCCCCCCCCCCCCCTCCCCCCCCCCCCTTTCCCTCCTCCCCTCTCCCCTTCCACCCCCTCTCCTGCCCCCCAACACTCCCAATACTCAGGGGATTTTGTAATTTTCCCCTTTCTAGGCGGATCCATGTCGGTCTCTCTTAGGGTCCTCTTTGTTACCTAGGTTCTCTGGGGTTGTACCCTGTAGGCTGGTTGTTCTTTGCTTTATGTCTAATACCCTCTTGTGATTGAGTACATATTACCCAAGCCCTGCTCTTAAAACATGTATAAACTGTTCTATACAATACAGACATCTGGGTTACCTCCCCCAACCTCACTTGAGAAGGTTACCGTTCCTTCTCAAGTGTCCCCTGAGAGGGCCACAGAAACAGTTCTAAGACAGCCTCACACAATGGTTCTTTCACCAAACAAGTTCTCCAGGCAGAAGAGCCCCGTGAGACTGTCCACATGACAGAGCCTCTCCCACAGCCCTTCCTGCCAGTGCCCATACGAGCCGCTCTGCTGTCTCAGATGTGGGTTTCCCTTCCCTGGTTCCCACAACCACCGTTTTCAAAAGAACAAAAGTGTCAGGGCATCCACCTGGAAGAAACTGAACAGGTCCGCGCCTTCGGAGAACCAGGGTCTCCAGATGATGGAGTGCCTGCTCAGCCCCTCTCTGGGCACAGGATCAATGAGGGGTTGAGGAAAGTCCCAAGGGCCGGATGCTGGGCACTCGTCATATTCAGCCACTTGGTAGGGGTAATAATTGTACCAGGATGGAAACATCCCATAGACCTGCGATGAGGGGAGGAGAACAAGCCCGACTCAGTGCAGCCGGTGGGAACCACTCCCATTCTGCTGCCACCGCTCATGCTATCTCACTTCTCATGTATAGATTCTTCTGTTTATTGCATGGTAACCTCTGTGGGGCTCCCAGAGCCTGGTCCCTCCTATTTCACTCTCCTCCTTCCTAGCATCCAAATTACTGTGATTGCTATGTTTTTCAAATACCTTTATCTCTTTCTTTCTTTCTTTCCTCCTTCCTTCCTTTTTTCTTTTTCTTCCTCCCTCCCTCCCTCTCTCCCTCTTTCTTTCTTTCTTTCTTTCTTTCTTTCTTTCTTTCTTTCTTTCCTTCCTTCCTCACTATACAGCCCAGGCTGGCTATGAACCCATAGCCGCAGCCTCTCCAGTGCTGACATTACAGGCGTGTGCCCCCGTACAGGGCTCTACTGTCAAGCGAGGGCTTTTCTAGCACCCTTCATCAGGGTGCTGCTTCCCAAGGTCTCCTGCCCACGCCCGTATCCAGATGCGGTTAAATTGTTCTCTCCATCATCTCCTATGCCCCATCCCAGTCCCAGACCACTCACAGAGCTGTTGCTCAGCTCCCTCTCTGGCCTGAGGAGCAGGACACTCTCATCCACAGCCCGGACCGCACACAGGGACCCAGGCGCTGCCTGCAGCTGTAACTCCACATCTGTTCCTGGGAGCTGCTGGGAAGGTGAGAAGCCAATGGAAACCTGGGGAAGAGATAGGTTATATGGTGGGGGTCCTGTCATCCCAGACATCAGGTGAAACAAGAGGACCTGAAACATCAGCCAGCATGCCTGTGCCTGGGATCCAACCCATTCCATCACTGTTATTTATAATATATATTTTATATTCATAACATTTTAATTAAGGTAGAATATTAATCAGACTGCTAACATTGCTATTTAATTGACATACAATATCTATAACATTTTTATACTAGAATGTTTGCACAGAGATAGAAAAAGTGGGGCAACTAATAAAGTTCAGAAGAAAAACTGAGGGCAGGGGGATATATGGCCAGCTGTGGTGGCACATGCTAATAATCCCAACACTTGGGAGACAGAGGCAGGAGGGTTGCCACAAATTTAAGGTCAGCCTAGGCTATATAGTGAGGCCTTGTCTCAAAAATAAAGAGAAGGGAAGGTGCAGAACATGCCTTCTTTTTTTCTTTTCTTTCTTATTTATTTTTTTTTTGCCAAATGCTTGTTTTATTGATTTCCTGAGTGGGGCAGGGTGGGGTGGTGGAGAGGGTTAGAAAAGGTTTGTTTCCAGCTTCAAAGGACACTCATTCCCAAACAGACCTTCATCCTGACTACGTATGAACAGACACTGTTCCTCCTGCTTTGAGGACACTTGAATTTAAGATGCTGTGGACAGAATGCCTCTCTCTGAAATGCAGTGCACCCATCGGGATAGATGGGCATTCCATGGGCTCTAGTTCACAGGAGAAAGGGACTGGCACTTTAGCGTCAACAACAAATTTACAATAAAAAAACGCAACTTGTTTGACTTGTGGCAGGACCGGTTACTAAGGGACCACTCAGCAATAATGGTCTTGAATATTTATAGCTAATGAAAATGCATTTAACCAAGGGACTGCTGATCCTAAGAACTGTGACATCTGTGAGTAAAGAAGGAATTCTAAGTCTGGATGTCAAATCCAGAGCAAAGTATCAGTAATTTCACATTGCAATATCTATAAATAAAATGCATGGATCAGATAAGAATTATATGAATAATGTTAACTAGAAAGTGTATATAGGGGCTGGAGAGATGGCTCAGAGGTTAAGAGCACTGACTGCTCTTCCAGAGGTCCTGAGTTCAATTCCCAGCAGCCACATGGTGGCTCACAACCATCTGTTATGACATCTGATGCCCTCTTCTGGTGTGCAGATATACATGGAAGCAGAATGTTGTATACATAATAAATAAATAAAATCTTTAAAAAAAGAAAGTGCATATAGAACTCAGGAATACCTTTTCCATTAATTTTGTCACTTATTCTCGTTCAGTAAAATGCTCACAAGGAAAATAACCTCTTAAGGCAGAAGCCTGGTTATAACATTGCTGTTCAGAGCTTCATGATAGCAAATGCGGGGATATTGATCAATTTCCCTGCTTTCTTAGACAGAGTCTGGCTATAGACTGTCCCTGAACTCACAATCATCTTACCCACCCCCAGCTCTGCTGTGACTTTAGGAGGGCGGGAGAGGAGGAGCAGAGAGGGCTGGGAGACCAGTAGGGGAAGGGGGAGGACGGGTAGGAAGAAGACGAAGAAAGACTAGCATAGATCTAAACTACTAGAGACACAGGTACAGCATGGCAACCAACTTCCATATATACCCTTCAGATCGCCCTGAACTTGCTTCATCTCCAACTCCATCGCACACGGGAACTTTCCCTTCACCCAGCTCCTTTCTGTTACTCTTCTCAACTCTGTCTCACCTGATTGTCAAAGCACATCTCCATGGAGAACTGGATTTTGTCAGCTATGACGCCTCCACTGGGAAATACAGTGTAGATGACGAGGGAGGGGGAAGGCGCCATTCTGGAGGTGAAGGTCAGAGGGAAGGAGAAGGAGCTTTTCAGTTCTGAGAAAGAAGAGGGCACAAGAGCCAGGCTGTGCAGCCCCCTATACATGCACACACGCTGTTCCCACACTGTTCTCCTCTCCC